TAGGCTGCCGAGGGGCAAACTCGGAATTCTGAACACCATCATTGCTGCTGTGACTGTTCTGCTGCTTTGCTTGCTGCCCTTTGTGTATCTCAGACCAAACTTCATCCACTGTTTTCCGACACAGCGGCCCAGGTAGAGTCAACGAGCCTTGGCGTGGCAAGCTGGGTTGCTTGGCTATGGCGGCAGCCTTCTCCTCAGAGGCCTCTGCCGAAGGCATGTGCGCATCAATGTTGTTGATGTTGCTGTTGTGGTGGTTATGGTTGTTGTTAATGTTGGTGTGGTTTGAATTGATGGCTTGGTTTTCTTCCGCGGTCCAAATGCTGGTGAGAAACTCATCCATGTTCATGGAGCCAAAATTCTTGCCATTCTCGCAGAGGGTGTGCTGAAACTCATCAAGGGTGAGAGAGTAGATGGAGGACTGTCTTCCCAATGAGGAGAAAAAGTGGTTCGTGGCTTGCTGGTCGGATTGCAACGGCGATTCGACCTCGTCATGGGAGATGATTTCGGACTCCGAAACGCCCATGTTTTCGTGTGGTCTGCACTTGATTGAATATTGGGTTCCTGAATTCTAACAGACCTGATCAAACTGATGCACAAAAACCCAATCAGTATGAATTTTCCAAATTTATATCAACAAAACAGAGCAGCCCTCGGTATGAATTTTCCAAATGTTGCTGTACAGAAACTACAAGACAACAAATCTCTCTACGGTGGTCCCTACCAACAAAATTTTTAAGGACAAAACTGCTGCGCTTGGACTTGGAGGGACCAATTGGAATTAACAAATGGTTAATTAGTGCTTTGCTTAATCTTAAGCATGAGATTGATAAACAATTGGAGAAACTCACGTGCCATTCATGAGATGGTGGTACATATTAAACGAGTATATAATGACAACAGGTGTCTAATATCTGCAATTAATTATGCATTTCCAAAAATAGGAAAATGGAATAGAATGTGGGACATGGTAGATAGCAAAAGCCAAGAGAATCTTTCCTGTTTTAGTATTGCAATGAGTGGTGTTTCAACAATTATTAGACACCACCAAGAAAAAATATACATAAATCCTGTAAAAAGTTGCACCAATTATTTGCATAAAGAATATAATTATTCATCACCAAGAAGTCTCAGATCCCAGAACCAGCACATAAAAATCATCAGATACATGCAAACACAGATCACAGAAACAAGTTTAAACAGATGGGTTGTTCTAAAAGCTTACAGAGAGTTGAAAAAGAGAACTTGCTGGCTATGAACATGAAAGAAAAAGTACCTGACTCTGACTGAATTTATATGTTTGATTTGGGAATCTGGAGAGAGAGAAGGCTAAGAAAGAACTAATGCCAGAAACCCAATATGTTCCAGGACAGGACAGGACACTATAATTTTAGCCTTGGACAGATCTGAAGGGCCAACAAAACAAGCTCACATCTCACATAACCAAGTACTCGTAATGAACTTCTGCTTCAAGCTTTGGCATATAAATAGTACCAAGTTTAAAGGGTAGGCTTTTTTTTTTCTTTTTTTTCTTTTTTTTTTTCTTTTTTCGGCTATTAGGTACACACGGAGAGAGAGAGAGCTAGCTCATACAGGGGAAGAGTTTGGGTGTGTGCTAAGGAGAAGGATCGAGCAATTCCATGACCATACCTCTATCTTTCCGGTGAAGTGTGGGGGCCACTTTGCTTACAAGTCAATCCCATCAGTCTCTACAGTTATTCATATAAAAATTTGCAGCCTCAAAGTGCCAAAATTAGACAATGCTTCGAGCCCTTGACACCTGTTAGCCATGTGGCTGCAGAAGGAGAGGTCTTTGTTGGAGAAGCAACACGTGTTCTTCTCCAGCCAGAAATATAATAGAAAATGTACATGATATAATAATATTTAAATAATAGGCTTGTATTCTGTTTTTGACAATCCGACTTTTTATAATCATTTGGTTATGAATATGAGGTATTAATCACTCTATGAATCTATGTATTTGTTAAATTAGAGAGCTTTCACCCTAAAATCAATGACAATTGGCGGTGTATGTGTATATTGTAGTGTAAAGCTTAACATACTTAAGTCGGATTTATATTATTCTAACATGTTTCGAATTTATAATTTAAAGTTATCCTTTCTTTAATTATGTACCCGACTTCAAGAAAAAATGTATAATTATTTGTAAAACACACGTATCAAGTAAATTCAGATATTGTACTTAATCCGTGAAAACTCAAACCTTCAAACCTAATATGTCAAACTTTGTAACTAGTCAAGTACAAACTCTTTAACTTTGGTCAATTCATTAGTGCATCTTTATGGACTGCGAGGAGATCACATGCAAGAAGTGATTTCTACGAGAGAACTAGGGCATCTGGGCCACGTGACGTGAGCATCTGTTCTTTGTTTTGTTTCGTTTGACGAATTTGCCCTTGGGATTTTGTTCAAATTTAGGTGGATTTGTAGCAAACCCATGCTGGTGGTTCTTCTTCTGGTTCAGTAGCCGCTGATTTGGGGTTTGGTATATCTGCTGGTATTGATCTTGTTCTTGTTCTTGTTTGTACAAGAACGCAACAGTGGAAGTGGTCCAATATTCATATATCCCTTCCCAGCTGCCTCTAGCACAATTGATTTTTCATTATTGTGGTATTTTTGGCAGGATATAAGTAGCTCTTGTACTTGTTCAACAGTTATTGTGTGCCCTTGCAAAAAAAGAGAAAAATGTCGGGAACAATTCATTGTCATACTCTGGTGCCTACTTACCCCATGTTGTCTTCATTATGCACAAAGTTCTCGGCTAATTATCGGTAAATCACATGTATAAGGTACCGTCTAAGTATTTTTTTAATTTTAATATAAGAAAGGAGGATCCGAATTTATATCCCTTCAAATAAAATGGAGTGGAGAGAAGTCCGAGTGTTTTCGGGCTGCTAAGGGTTATATCAAAATTCGAACTTAAGACGTCGATTGGGATATATTGTTATCCTTTTGGTATTGCTTATATAATTGTTTAATGCTAATTAATTAGCTCTAAAAAATGAACAAATCCCATGAGAGAAGTCAAAATAGAGTTCCTACATGGACTTGCTGGCCCCTCATGTTTATTGTGTGAAGCATGGGCAGAGGGAGCTAAGGCCGAGGGGTCCTATGCCCCATCTCACTTTTCTTAGCCTAATTATATATCTCTTATCCAAATTTCAAAGTTTCCTTTTTCTTTTTATGTTTTTCTTCTCTCTCTTTTTCACATTATTACTACCCCTTCTAAATCTCTTTTATTTCTTTTGACTCTAAATGTTGTAGTAATAAACTACAATTCAAATTTTCTTAGTACGTATATTTAACAAAATACATTTAATTTGAATCAATATCTTTTGCTTATATTAATGATGAATAGATACGTAATGTGACATATAAAATAATAGAGTATAGTAATTAAATTTAGGAATTTTGTATCAAGTAAAATATTAATTTAAATGTCACACTGTAAAGAAAAAGATTTCAATATTTGAGATGCCCTCTCTGTACAAAGTTTCTGACTCCGCCACTAATGTAAAGTGAACAAAAACATGAGATGATGGTAACTAGCAAGTTCATGTAACGACTCTCTTTTAAGCAAGTCTCGTTAACATTTCTTAACCCGGAATGCTGGCTCCATAGACCAAGCTTTCCCAACACAATGTGCAGGGTCAGACAACCAAGTACCAAAATGTACGTATGGACACGCTGTGCATATTCCAAAATGGAATGCAAGGCAAATCATATGAGATTTGCGACCCAATCCCCTTCCCACAAACCGTGAGAGAACAATTCAAAACAATATTTTTACCCAACGGCAGAAATACGTACCTTCACCCTTGACCGAAAAAAAAAAAACCATTTCGAGAATTAATCTTTTATAGGAGCTAAACTCGTTTCTCATTATTTGATCAAGCACAAATTTTTAGTTTCTTTTTGGGTAATTTGAAGTATTATTTCAAGAATGTGGGCTGGGCCAGACCCACTTTCTTCTGCATGGACTTCATATTTTTAATGAGGAAGAAGCCGGCCCAGTCAAAACCAAAGAAGGTAGAAATCACAAGGCACAATTGAGAATTGGAAAAGTACATGCTCTCTCTCACCCCTATACTTTGAAGGATTGTGTTAAATTCAGAGAGACGGGTTAGAGACTTATTACTAACAACATCGATATTGTCTCCAACTTAATCATCTACAAAGCCCAGTAGGTGATGGATTTTATCACAAAAAGCATCGGTGTTATTAGTAGTAAAATCATTTATTATATTTTGTATTTTATTTAGTCAAGTTTCCGATATATGACTCATATTCTTTAATAGATTGGTGTACCAAAAAATTCTACAAATTTCAACTCCTTAAAATAAACTTTTTCTTTTCTTTTTTTTTTTTTAGAAGAGAAGGGAGTTGTGCGACTTCTCTATCCCGGGATGTATACTTCCTTATTCCTATCGCACACATTACGTGATCAAGTGATGTGTGCTATAAGAGGAGCATGAGCATACATCGTGGGATCATGAAATATTCATCTGTTGGCATACCATTTGCCAAAACAATTATCACATCTCCAATGCGTGGATTTAATCATCCCTCAAATAGTTATCTTCCCTTCACTCCCAAGCAAAGAAAATTACCTATCATTCATGTCTTTATCAAATTATTCATTTTGCTTGGCCCCATGCAAATGAATTATGCAGAAATATTGGCGGACCAAAAGAAGGAATAAGTATACAAATGCAGGCGCCGCTCTCATGAAGAAGGAATAATCATCATAACCATGGTTGTCGTCCACATCGTTTTTATTCATTATTTGAATGGAGCAATATAATTTTCATTACTAGTTGAAATTATTATTAATTATGAATGTATTGGATGCAAAAGAGATCCTTATGGTGGTCCAAATTAGATAAACTTCCATGAAACCCGCCTTTTATCCTGCAAATCTTTTTAATTAAATCTAATGTGATCATTTAGAGGAGCTTATAAGTTCAATTATATATTGAGTTCTATAAAACCCCACATAGACTCCTATATATGCTTGTAACCCAATTCAAGAGTGCGTTTGTACCAAGAAAAATGTCTCCTAGGCTCACCCTTTTGTTTGTTATTTTCTGCCTCCTATGTGCCATGACATTGGCTTCTGACCCTGACCCAGTTCAAGACTATTGCATACCAAACCCAAAATTAGGTGTCATAAAAACACCTCTTCACACCTTCCTTCCATGCAAGAACTCATCTGAGGCAACCACCGATGACTTCGTCTTCTCCGGTATGAAGGTGGCCGGAAACTTCACTGACACGGGCCTCGCAGCCATCTCAGTCAACCCAACAATCTTCCCCGGGATCAACACACTAGGGATGTCATTTGTAAGAGCTGACCTCAACGTTGGTGGAATCAATCCACCACATTTTCACCCAAGAGCCACAGAAATATCCCATATAGTGCAAGGGAGTGTTTACTCAGGGTTTGTTGATTCAACCAATAGGGTTTTTGCAAGGGTAATTGAACAAGGGGAAGTCATGGTGTTCCCTAGGGGTCTAGTGCACTTCCAAATGAATGTTGGTAAAAAGCCTGCAACAATTTTTGGAAGCTTCAATAGCCAAAACCCAGGAATGCAAAAGATCCCATCTGCCATTTTTGGGTCTGGGATTAATGATGAGCTCTTGGAGAAGGCCTTTGGATTGAGTTCAAAGCAGATTGGAACTATGAGAAGAAGATTTGATCCAAAAAGGGTGAGGTTCTAAGTTGGTTTGCCCAGAATTGCGGAGGAGCATTTTTATTTAATGCATCTTGTATTGATACAGTAGAAGAAATTGTGTTGGTCATTTAAACCCATGTATTATTTGTGTCTGAAGTGGTTATAAACATGAATTGATGTGCTTCCCCATCCTGAACTGGGCTAGGTGCTGGTAAATTAAATTTTAACATGATAAACATGCAAGAATTTTCTTTAATCTCAGTTCCAATAACTCCGAATCCAAATACTACCAAAAAGTAATCCTGGTTTCGCTTTCTCAAACCCAACTTTTAAAAATTCAATCCCTAAGAAACAATTTCATTGTGATGCAACAATATATAAACAGCTGGCTAATACAAGATCTATCATACATACCAATATGATCAACTGAAATTTTCTCTCCATATTGGAGAAGAAATGCACAAAAAAGTTCATCTGAGGTAGCTCATTAAGCATGTGGAAGGTTACTACCCCTCAGTTAAAAGTGCCTTGACAATGTTATCACACATCCCATCAGCATGTGGGAACAAGTGCCCAGCACCTGGCAGCTCATGATAGTGAATCCAAGGAAGTCGTTGAGCAATGTAGCGTACCGGTTTAACAGGTACCAAACGATCATCAGCTCCATGCCACAAGTGGACGGAACCTTCATTGTTAGGGAATGGGTTTTCAAGATCCAGAGGGGTGAATTCCCATGTCCCAAATCCAACAATCATGTCACAGTGAATGGACTCGAATTCTCCTTGTTGTCTTACCTGTTCCTGAGGAAACCACATTCAAAAACAATGACATCACTTTCTTTTCTGAAAAAATAAAATTATTTCTGTAATAGCATATAGTGTTCACTTGTTTTATGTCAATTGTACCCTCGGATTGAGGCTTCCCTAAGCACATTCAAGTTTCAAAGTCCACAAGCTACAGAGAGAGAGAGACAGAGCAGACAGAGAGCAGAGACGTAACAAAGCATGTCATTAAATATCAGCATCATTTTCTGAGTATCTAACATCCAAAGCCAACCGATGAAATTACTATACACTGCAAGCACATGGTTTGTAAAAGACATTAACAAGAGTTGTTACATCAGGGAAGGTGTGCCATGTGGGTCTATAAAGTTAATGTATCTATAACAAACCTTGCATATTTAATCAAGGATTGTACACTTAGTCAGGAGAAACTCCAAATTTTAGAGGTTGATACAGAGAAGTACAAAGATACAGATATAGAGCCCACAACCACGGTTATCTTAAAATGTAGTTCCCATGAAAGCTTCATCTATGATAAAGTGAAAACAAAACTGTTCATAAAATAGGGATCTAATTATTGGGAAGGGAAATGCAAATGCAAAAGCTTCAAAGGTTTCTCATTGCTCTTCCATGAAGAATAAAAAAATTTAAATCCAGAATTCACAAGATGCCAGATTAATGCCCTACTAGGCATATGTAATATGTTCCCACAGTTCCAATGGAAAGACTGAAGTCTAGGAAACGGAAATGCAAAGCTTCAAAGTTCTCACATTGCCATTCCATGACGGGAAATAACATTTAAATCCACAATTCACTAGGTGCCAGATTAGTGTCCTACTAGTCATATGTTCCTACAGTTCCAATGAAATGCTAAGACCAACCACCTCTTAACACTAACCAGAAGGCTTGCAAAGACGTCTCTTGATGCAGTGTAGGCTTCACAGTAGATATTCAAAGTAGATTCATTTGTGAGACAATGAAAACTTTTCTCTTTTTATAAGCAGCACTCAATTAGTTTCACCAGTATGAGTAACCAAGTAATACCTCTGCCCACATGCGAAGGGTCTCAAATTCAATCTATGGGAAGGGAATTATCAACTAGACACATGCTAGAAAACAGGGCAAGGATGCAGTTGGCATGGCTCATTATTTACTTCACAAGAGATTGAAGGGATTAACTATAATCCATAGCTTAAAAGACCTTACTTGATTCAGCATAAAATCAAAATGGAAAAGAACATAAGGAAACGTTAATCTTCAAATAGCAAAAAGGCAAAATGACGAGTATAATTTCAAGCATCAGAACTAGACTAATTTTTTGTTGAAAAATCAGCCTAATTTTCTAGAATGTTTACACACAAATTTCAAAACACTGGCAAGGATCTCGGCCTATAAAAAAATAACTTAATAAACCAAATTAATTTTGAAATTTGGTAACTTATTCAGTAAATGTAGAATATTAAATTTGGCTAATGTCATTATGAAATGGTTTAACTTAAAATTTTAAATAATCTAATTTTATGAAATTTTCCAAAACATGGGGTGCATACCACATATGTTCCTCTTTTCTCAAGCTTAGTCATGAGTTCTTTGTCTTGGTCAGAAAGAATATCTCTACTGTGAGCCACAACACTTGAAGCAGGAAACCATTTTTGAGTGTTCCAGAAGTAGGTAAGCCAGGGGGTGTAGTGAGACACACGAAGTGCCCATTGGTCTTGCTGAAGCTGTTGGGAATAAGCTTCAGTAGATAGATTTGCAGGAAAACCAGCCCACCAGTAGTTAACCACTGGAGCTAATATTGCTGCTCCCGCAAGCCTGTTATCATTCACACCTAGCATAAGAATAAAAGACATACAATACCTCAATCACCCACCACCACCCCACCCTACTGTCCCCCGGTCCTCCCTCTCTTCCCTCTCTCCCTCTCTCTAACGAGAAAGTCTCAGGTACAACAAACCAATATAACAAATGATACAGGTCCATTCAGTAAATGATATGGGTCCCACAAACAATGATTATGTGTCATTGTATGAAGATCTGTTGTCTTGTGTTGTACTACTTTCTCGTTTCTAACACAGACACATACATGCAGAACCTGTTCACTTACATTGCTTGAAAAAAATCATACCTGTGAGGGATGTACTTGAGGCAGCTCCAAAGCACCTGTCCACCCATGGAGAAACCAATTACATAAAATCTGTGTCCTAAACCCAATTGATCAGCCAGCTCCTCTATATCTGAAGCCATACTCTTCACTGTGCGCTTTGGATTAGGATCACTTTCTCCATAACCAGGTCTGTCAAAAGACACAATGTAGATCCCTAAATCTTCAACAGTTTCCTGGGGGAATTCACCATAGGTTAAAATGTGATTAAAGGGAAAATAGATAGATACAAAACAAACCATGAGATAGATACCGGAGACAGGGTTTCAGCAACGACAGCATCATGCCTGCAAGAATCAAAACCATGGACAAAAACTATTTTATGCTTTGCATTCTCTTTTGGGACCCCATGCTCTTTGTAGGCTAAACGCCTTCCATCACTAAGTTTAATAAATGGTGCTGTAACAGGCGGCCCATCAGGAGAGCCAATTATCTTTGATGGAGGAGGTTGGATTGCCTGATATGTCCATGCCGAAAATCCAATAAACAATGCAACTAGTGCTTTCGTAAACATCCCTGAAATTTTTGAGTTCTAACTGAATCACAATACAGAGGTTGGAGAAAAAGCTCCAACAAATTTCTACTAAATTTTTTAGCAACAAGAAAGATTGGACTAATTTATTTGAGTGTCTGATATCAAACACATACAGATTCTGCATCAGATGCATTTAGAACAAATTCTTATTGACAGTTTACAAGAAATTAGGGATCAAACTGACAGTTGTAAGATTTCTTAAGTATTCATTTTGCATTCACAGACAAGGCCTTATGGCAATAATATAAAGAATCCTAGTCCCTGATCATTGACATAATGTTAAAATCAAGCAGCATGAGTTTGTACTTTGATATGTCCATTAAAAATATAGGTCAACAAATTTGATAGTAGGGTATCGAAGTGAAACATTCGATACAGAATCCAAAAAAGCAAACATGAACTTGGCTTAGTGCCTTCAGAGGCTTGTTGGCTTTCTGCTTAAATGCATGAACGCAGTTAGTTGTATACTTACTGCTATCCAGATGAAATACAAATGTCTTATATCTAATTGTTATTTCAACCTCACTGTGGGATAAGATTTTCCCTCAACGAATTACCGCAAGGAGAACCAAACCTTTATTTTAGTTTTTGTTATTTTTTGTTTTGACAATGATGAAATCTCAAAGATCACACTGCTAATACAATCACAAATTTGAAGCATATAAGATACCATTTGTTAAATGTTTATTGTCCAAGTCAAAATTACTCATTTTCCCTTAATCACTTCTTTTGATACATTAAATAGGATCAAACCACGATCTATCCTAGTCCTAAACCCAACATATCACAGCTCAACTTGAAGACATTTATTTAACTTTTAACAGTATCAGTAAATGATGCAACAATTAGTCAATTTTAGTTTTTTCTTATTGAAAAAAACAGAACCCTCTGATTAGTATTGTAAATATAATTACAAAAGTGAAGAAAAGAAAAAGCTGGTCTCTTATTCTTATCGTTATTTTGGAATAAATGAAAACTCAGCCAACTTAATCACAGATAAGGCTTGCTAAGTAAAACTTTTAAATCTAATTATACCCCATATAATGAAAAACTCCTCAAACAAACACAGTTCTTATGTTCTGGTCCTGCATTTTTCTCATAGAGCAAACAGAATTTGGCGCTGACTTACAACAAAACGAGGTACAATGAACAATCGTAATCATTGAAACCATTAAATCAAATTACCAAAACAAATAAAGATAAACAGGAAAAAGAAGAAGCAAGAAAAACCCACCTGGAGGAAGCTGGAACGAACTATTTTGCTTGGCTCTTCTGGTGTGAGCTCTGGCCGACGCCGCTGATATCTTCCTGTTCACTCCTCCCGCCATTTCCACCAACCCACAAGATCAATCAGAGATTCACAGTCAGGCTTAGCGAAAGAAAGAGAAAGCCTTTCTGGGTTAGAGAGAGAGAGAGACTGGGAGAGAGATCAGATCGAAGAGTTCTGTGATGGACAAAGAACGGTGACTAGGCTGTCTTCAGAGAGTGCAACTCTGTCGGTGTTGCCAAATGTTAATTTGCAAAACAGTAAAAGTCAATTAGTGCACAAATCATATAATTCGAAACTAAACCATATATAATTCTCATCACAAAGAAACTTACATAATCAACTATTGGAGAAAAGTTTATTGTGTAATTTTACCATTTAAAAATCTATCTATATTCATTGAACACTTTTGTATTCATTGAACACTTTTGTTTAGCAAATGATACCAATTTAGTTTAATTAGTATGACGTCATCGACCAATTTAAA